AAATCATATTTTGAAGAAGCCTGACCTGGTAGGTAGGATGGCATCTTGGGCTATAGAATTATCAGAATACGACATCACATTCATGACCGGGAGTAGCATCAAGTATCAAGTGCTTTCAGACTTTTTGATGGAGTTAAGCTCACCTTCTATAGAAGAATTATCAGGACAATGGATCCTATCAGTGGATGGATCATCCAATCTTAAAGGTAGTGGGGCAGGAGTAGTATTGGAAGGACCAAGAGATGTAATGCTCGAGCAATCACTTTGCTTCAATTTCCAAGCTGGCAGTAATCAGGCAAAGTACGAAATCGTGATTTTCGGCCTAAGATTAGTAAGAGAAGTGGGTGTTACCCATCTATTGGTTCAAACAAATTCACAGCTAATTTCTATCCAAATTACAGGGAGTTATCAAATAAAAGATCAGTTGTTACTAAAGTACCTGCAACAAACTCTGCAGCTATCTAAGAGGTTCAAAAAGTTTGAAGTATCACACGTTCCCCGAGCTGAAAACGTTAGGGCCAATCTACTAGCCTGACTAGCCAACACAAAAGGACATAGGTTTAATAGAAAGGTGATTCAAGAAACTTTGTAGGCGCCAAGCACAAAAGCCGAATAAATCATGGTTTTAGAGAATTCTCGGGGCTAGATGTTTCCCATCATTCAATATCTCACCTAATATAGGCTGGTAGATGACGAGATTGAAGCACAACACATCAAAAGGGTATCCTCTTGATATCTCATGGCGACCAACTAGCTATACAAGATGGGTAGATCCACCCAATGCTAAGGTGTGTTGTCGAGGAAGAAATTAGACTTATAATGAAAGAGGTACATGAAGGCGTGTGTGGAAGTCATATCGGGGGAAGAGCGTTATCTGAAAAAATACTCTGGGATGGATACTATTAGCCAAGCATGCTCCAAGACTGCACACGATTCATGAACTTGTGTGAAAAATATCATATTTATGTTTCTTTTATACACTCTCCGACAGAGTTATTGCATTTTATGATTTCCCCTCAGTCCTTCTATTAGTGGGGATCTGAAATTCTCGGTCCTTTCCCTTTGGCGATGCGTCAGTTGAAATTCTTGATAGTGGTGGTGGATTACTTCATCGAATGGGTCGAAGCTGAGGCCATACACTGGATCACGATGAAAAAGGTAAGACATTTATATTGGAGAAATATCATATTCCGCTTTGGTCTTCCCAACATCACTATGTATGATAATGACACATAATTTGTGATCTTATGTTGTAGAATTTTGTAGGCACCTCGACATACAAAATTTGTTCATTTAAGAGAAACACCCCTAAGCTAACGGCCAAGCGCAAGCAATAAACAAAATCATCCTATCGGGAATGAAGAAAAAGTTAGATGAAGCAAAGGGACTTTGGGTCGAATACCTTTATGAGATTTTATGGTCATATCACACCACCCCACATTCAAGCACTATAGAAAACTTCCTTTTTGATAGTCTATGGAGCTGATGCAGTGATACTAGTAGAAGTAAACTCATCGACGTGACGCCAATAAAATTTTGATGATAGTCTTAACCAGGAGGATTTAGAAAAATAGGGGGACCTCATAGAAGAGATCAGAATAATGGCTCATGTCAAAGAGTTCACAACAAAGCATAGAATGGCCAGAAGGTTCAACATAAGAGTTCGTTTGAGGAGCTTTCGGGAGGGCGATTTGGTTTTGAAGAAAATTACGGACACAAAGAAAAAGGGGAAACCTGCACCAAACTGGGAAGGACCTTATCGAATCCGGGAGAAGTTTAAGAATCAGACTTATAAGATGGAAAATCTAAAAGGAGTTAAAATGCCAAGGGCTTGGAACGTAGTCATCCTAAAATTTCATTATAGTTAAGTTGTGTAATGAACTTATTAAATAAAGGTTGTGGGTAGAAATTTTTTCCCTTGCAAAGGTAAGGATTTTTAATGAGACGCCTTCAATTTCATATTCATGCCTGTCATTTTTGTTAAGTCTTACAGGTGTAATTGCAATATATTCTATTAGATATTTTGAATGATATCAAAACTAGAAAATATGTAGTATTTGCATATTGGACGGTATCTCTCGATGTCTAGGTTGCATTCTCACACTAGGACACTTAGGGATTAAGTTAAAAGCTTTTGGACATGTTAAGAACTTCAAAAATATGATTTTCATGAAAATTCATGTTTGGAATCGACTCACTCGTGTTAGGAGTTGACTCCCACTGAAATAAAATCGAAAAGAAACTTGCTGGTCCAAAAGAGCCGACTCCTAGGGTCTTGGAGTCAATACATAACAAGAAGAAGTCAACTCCCACATGTTAGGTATCAACTCCTACTGAAAGAATTTTTGAAAATTAATTCTCTGGTCTAGATGGGTTGACTCCCTCGCATATGGGGTCGATAAATTACACGAAGGAGTCAACTCCCACGTATGTGTATCGACTCCTACTGGAGCTGATTTTCATATTTTCCTCACTGTCTAAAAGGAGTCGACTCCTAGAGTGTATGGATCAACTCTCTTGCCCTTTGGAGTCGACTTCCTCTTCGTATGTGTCGGCTCCGACTAATCCAATGTTAAATTTATAATTTTACAACCTAATTTTTTCTGTTTTCTCAAGCGCGCACACACACACATACGGACACGCTCATACACACACACACACATGCACACACACACACACACACACACACACACACACACACACACACACACACACACATATATATATATATATATATATATATATATATATATATATATATATATATTCATGCATCATTTTAAAGATACGAAACCACAAATATACAAAGTATTGCTCATCATTTTCATCTTCTCTCTATGCATACACATAACAAATTACACATAATCAGTTTTTGTTGGATGCCATCTAGAGATAGTGTGATAACATCCAATTAGGATTCAGTGTAATCAATTGGATTGATAATTCTTTGGGGGTTTCAAGTAAGAACCAAGCTCGGGGTTTCCTTCAAGAACATTGGTGATTTGAAGGTTTTGGACAAGATTATGCAATTTGGGTTAAGCCGAGTGAAAGCTTTAAAGAACGCTGGGTTCGATCAAAGGAGTAACAATAATCGTATGATCACTTTGATAAATCTTGGGTCACAATACGTTTACAATTTGGATTCAACCGAGTGAAGTCTTTGAAGAACGAGGTTCTTGCAAAAAAGTAACATTAGATGAAGGATCAAATTAAAGTATCAGGTTCACTTGATCATGGCCTGATTAAGGGGAGAGAACTAGTTAGGATCAACATCAACCATATGGTTTGGAGGATTGGATTGCTACTTGTTCTCTTGTAATCAACATTTTGAAAAGGTTACTTTTTATCATCTCAATTTCGAATGAAATTGGGGGTAGACATACCCATAGCAAGGCCGATTAGGGATCTACCTAAATAAATCTATCTCTCTCTATTTCTCTCCCCCCCCCCCTCTCTCTCTCTCTCTCTCTCTCTCTCTCTCTCTCTCTCTCTCTCTCTCTCTCTCTTACCATTACTTGCAAATGGTTAAACCGTTGATTGTGCAATTAATACATGGAGATGATTTTTAGGTTAATACTTCAAACTCTTTTTTTGTTGATTTGACTACAATCTATGTGATTGTAATTTGTTTCTAACATCAACAAAATCATACAAAAATATGGTTTATATCGATTTCACACCAAGTGTTCGATCAATTGCCTTATTTAATTTTTGTCAATTATTTCATTGGAAATTGATTGCTATATATGGTTTATTCAAACATGGTTTGTTGGAAATATATTGGTTGTTTTTCTCATCATACGCAAACTCGTTCTCGGTTTAACATATATCTGGTCTTTTCGATAACAGTTTGAATAGACGATTGTCGATCTGGGTTTATTTCCGCATGCCATAGTTTAAACATTTTCAAAACATGATTTTTATTAGAAAATTTCATTTGCGATCTATTCAACCTCCCTTCTAAATCATAACATATCATCTAACAATAGGGAAGGAGTCGTGTTCATTCCAGGAGAGGAAAAACAAGCCAGTCCGGAGTTGCCGACCTCCACTAAAAGGGGTCATGTTCAATAAAACCTCTGACCTCCCTTTGACGTCAATTCTTGTGAAGCTCTGAACGTCGATCGTGTTCAATAAAACCTCTGACCTCTCTTTGACGTCAACTTTTGTGAAACTCTAAACGTCTGTTATGTTTAATAAAACCCCTGACCTCCCTTTGACGTCAACTCCAGTGGAGCGTCGAACGTCGGTCGCTCAATAAAACCTCCGACTTCCCTTTGACATCAACTCTCGTGGAGATCTGAACGTCGATCATGTTCAATAAAACCTCAGACCTCCCTTTGAAGTCAACTCATAAGGAGCTCTGAACGTCAGTCAGGAGAGCAAATGTCCTTGACTGATATCACATCGATATTTATCTATTCATAGCACATTTAGAAGTTTATGTATAATCGAGGGCTAACAATAGAAGCACACACATAACAACAAAGACATATTATAAATTCCTCAATAGGACTCAAAATATTGTACGTAGCCTCAAAAAGGCTTGAAACATTGTACTTAAAAACAAAAATAAGAAATTGTTCAAGCATTACAAAAAGTGCATCAACGGAAAAACAATATACAAAAACACAAACAAGTGAATAGTCTCTAACATACAAAACAATTGCATCCTCGCTTTATTAACTTTAAAGAGACTATCCAAAGGTGTTTGTCAAAAACTTAACTAAAATAAAATATTAAATTAAATTAAATTAAGAGATTAAAAGATGCATCAGACGGATAGATATGTAGGTATATTTAAAAAAAAACAATAGCAACACGTGAGAAAACCGGAGAAAAACCCAAACCGACACGTGATAGCAACAAAACTGAAAAAACAAATAATTAAAAAACAAGAAAATGGCCCACGACTAAACTCGACCCGCAAAACAGAGGGCTGAGATATCGAAACAGATAGAGATTGTATTATTCATTGAAAGCGCGAGTGGGTCCCAACGATGAACGCGGAAGACGCATCTCCGGCAGCGGCCATAACGCGGTGGAAGTTCGAGGCATCACGGCGGTACCAACACATTCTCGATAAATCAACGCCGCACGTGGGGCAGCGATGGCTGGGTTGCCTCGTGGTTGCGTTGGTTTACGTGCTCCGTGTTTACATGGTGCAAGGCTTCTACGTTGTCTCCTACGCTCTCGGCATTTACATCCTTAACCTCTTGATCGGATTCCTTTCGCCTCAGGTTGATCCGGAGATTCTCGACGCTGATCATGGGCCGTCGCTTCCTACCTCCGGTTCGGAAGAGTTTCGGCCGTTTGTTCGTCGTCTGCCGGAGTTTAAGTTCTGGTAATTTCGCATTTTCGTATTTTGATTTCTAGGGTTTTGTGTTTGATTCTTTTTATTTTTCAATTATGATTTCATATATGTTTGATTTGTAATTTATTGATTGTATTGTGGAGGTAAAAGATGAAATTAAAGTTAGGTTGATGTATTACATCAATCTGAATTTGGAATCTCAAGCATGTGATTAACTTGTGTGACTTGAATTTGGTGATTTGATCTCTGACCTATGGATCCCCTAATGGATATTCTTTAGCATTACCCTTACCAAAAGAATGTTGATTCTGGATAAAGTCAAACTTTTTAATGATGTAATGTTTTTCGTTAATTGATAGTGTAAAACATCTTCAGAGTGACCATGTAAAATATCTTTATGGTGACAATGTGTGCGAATTAAATCATTATTCAAATAATACCAGTTTCATTTCATGCCTTTATTTGTCTCTGCAAATACTCAATTTGGTATTGTAGCTGAGGAGCAAGTCTCTTGAGGTGGTTCAGCCAAGTCTATGGGATGTTGTCTTGGTGCTAACTAAGTTAGCCCAGGGTAACAATATTGACCCTCTCCTTTTGCTGGTTCAACTAAGCTTCACCATGAATTGTCTTGGCGTTTTCTTGCTGATCTTTTAGCTTACATCCGCTGGAACAAGCTAAATGCTTGTCAAGTGGGCATTTGTGTTATTTTCAAACAATTAGTTATCCAAACAAAAGTTTACAAATTGCTTGGAATTCAATACCCGAAGTTTCAAATTCTTTGATTATGCTCCATTGAATTGTTATTCTTGAAGTTACTAGTGTTATGTTATTTATAAGGATATTTGTTCTGCAAAAACTGTAGCCTTGAAGGGTTGTCTTAAGGAGATTCTAGTCATCATCATGGAACTAAAAGGATAGACAATGTGAAGTTAACAAATTAATTTCATCTGTGATGTCTTTTCTGACCAGAATCTAGATTTTCGTTGACATAAATTATGATTTATTCAGAATGGCCACAATAAAATTTAGTATTTTTATCTGTGACTATTATAAGCTCAAGGAAGAGATCTTGTTGATGGAAGAACCTTTTTAGGTTTCTTATGCTTGTCGACATTTCTTCCTTTCTGCTTGCTTTGCTGCCTTGAAACTAGAGTTTGACAATGTTGTATTCACCTTATTACTAAATGAAACTAATATCATTTTGTAATATAAAAGATATGCTATTTTGATGCTCATCTATCCGGGTTTGTGCTTTGAAGTTATAAAGTAAGTTTCATATTTACATAGGAAAAATGTTTTCCTTCGTGAACAGGTACTCAATCACAAAGGCATTCTGCATTGCGTTTGTGATGACTTTCTTCAGTGCGTTTGATGTCCCCGTGTTCTGGCCAATACTCCTATTCTACTGGGTGGTCCTGTTCACGCTTACTATGAGGAGACAGATAGCTCATATGATCAAGTACAAATATGTACCGTTCTCATTTGGAAAACAGGTAAATTTAGATTTTCATTCATATAAAATTGTTATACAAATATGGTTCTTTTTTATATGATTATTACTTCTTTGTTCCTGATGATAAATATTTGGTTTTGTTTAATTTTCTTATAGCGCTATGATGGGAAGAGAGCATCAGCAGAAAGCACTAGACTTTCGGATGACTGATTTTTTCAATTTAACTGAAACTTCATTTGTTTCATTTAAGTCACAGACCTGCATGTAGCTTGATATCATTTGCAGTAAATTTTGGCAGCTGGAGCAACATGAAGATGTGATGGCATCTGAGAGAGGTTACATTATGGTCTAGTATGGACAACTGGACATTCAATTCCCTGTTGAAAAATTGTTAGACTTTAGACTTGGATGTTTTTTAAACTCTAGTGAAGGATTTAGCTTTAGGGGTGAGATATTGTGGGTTATATTGGTTCTTTATCTTAATTCCTCTACCTTCTTTTTTGTATATGTATAGATGGGCAAATGCATCTTATTCGTGAATTCTTATTCAGATAATGAGTTTTTGGTAGCTTGAGTAAAATGAATTCCCTTCAGTATTTGCAATGCCCCTGTACTGATGTATCTCTTTAACCGTTTCTATTTTATCTTCTATTAAGCTTTTGAGAGACTCCCTTTTCTAGAGATCAGCCTACATGCTAGTTTTGTTTGACTGGGAATGTTTTTTCTCGAATATATTGAAATTTTATTCATGGACCTGTCTCTTGAAAGTAGGTTTATTGTCATACTATTGCTCAGAAAATTCACCTTGCAAACTTCACTAAGCATATGTTTGGTACACAGCTTTTTCATTCTCTCCACCGTGAAAATAAAAAGCTACAAAGAGTAGCTTTTGGACCTAAACACACGTCTGGCAAACTTCATTAATTCTTGGGTGGTTTCACGGTGAGTGAATGTTCTAACCTAGTACAGCAGTTTCTTTATAACTGATTTAATTTGGGGGTGATTGTTACTGCATTGCTTCGTTGCAACATGTCATGTTTGATTTAGTTGAATGCTTTGAGGAATAGTCATAGAAGTAAGTACACATAATAGTTTTAGCCATGCTAACATGGTTGGATTGTTGTTAGATGTCTTTGTAGGACAGTCTTTACTCAAATTGTTCATTTGTCCTGGTGTTAAAGCATTGGTATGTTAGTGGTTATGCGGCATGCCATGTGGAAGTTTTATGTTTCAGTTATCAAACTCAATATGAAATACTAAACAGTTAGAATATAGCACCATAACATGTTTTGAGTGCACTTTCAGTTATCAAACTCTGAAATACTAAACAATTTGTGACAGTTAAAATGTAGCATCAGTGCTCTTTATATTAGTAATTGACTATGACATGCTGTTTTCTGCAGGGTGTTGGCAAAAGTCTATAAATCCAAAATATTATAAATAGCAGGTTGAATTCAAATTAAACACTGAAATTTAAAGATAGTGAAAGCCACAGTACAAACTGATAGAGGTACAGCTTTCACATGAAGCAATAATCTATATACAAGATTAACCAATAGACATATTAATTAACCAATAGCCATATTAATTTAGCACTTGTTGAGATAATGATGGTGTTTCAAGTACTGCTAACAAGCACTTCAACTTTTTCATAAGCTGATTCAGTGATTGCAGAGTTTCGACCATACTTCACTGGGTATGAGGCTTCAATTGCAATTCCACACTTTCCTGTATAAGTTCTTTTCACATTACGCTCCATCTTGAAGTAACCATCTTCACCCCAGTTAGTGCCCCATGAGTTCCTCACCAACCAATAATCTACACCATTTTCAGAACCATATCCAACAACTACCACAGCATGATCTAAGCTTGTCCCACATTTACCAGTAAATACACCCTGAAAACAATAATTAATAGACATTAGTTTATTAGCATGACATTTTAAAGTTAATTATGTATGATTTTGATTATGAATAAGCTTACAGATTGATAGAGTTGCAAAGCCCTTCCAGAAGCCTCAATAGCAACGCTAACAGGTTGATGAGCCACAGCTTTCTTTAATGCATTTTCATTATTTGATGGAACATCCTCGTATCCATCAATGCTTACTATCTTGGCATTTTTCTGCATCATTACAATTTACAAGTACCCATATCATTAGTAAATCAATTCTTGTTTGAATGTGTGACACAATCAATCAACAACTCAAAATATATTTAAAGAGTCATCAAAGAATGTGCCATAGTTATTTTAGTATTATCTTGTAGTGTACTGTTTCATTAGTTGGATTCAATGTACATATTGTTTTATTTAAACTACTTACCCTTGTTGGATCACATCTACCCTCAAATCCCTTGTATGGATAGTGTTGGTCAGTGTCTATGCCACCATTTCCAATTATGAACTCAAAGGCATAATCCATGAGACCACCATTGCACCCTTCATTGAAAGCTCTGTCACAATCTACAAGCTCTTGTTCTGATAAAGACACAAGTTTCCCCGTGACAATCTTGTTTATAGCTTCCACTGTGGCTACTGTTGAGAATGCCCAACAACTTCCTGCCCCAGTTTAAAAGATAGAGTAAATTAATAATTAATATATTCAAAATTAAAACCAAACGTTTAATCTAATTACGGGTTTCACATTTCTTTTACTTAATCAACATACATGATTTAAGGCGTACAAAGTGGATGGATGATTGTGCATGATTTAAAATTTATTACAATTAAACTATGATTAAATTAAATCTTATAAAATATTTATCACGGATGAATGGTGGTTAAATAAATTATTCAATTTTCATGATTAAACCACAAATAATTTATATAGAAATTTCAAAAATTTGAGATAATTCTTGATAGTAGTTTAGTTTGATTATTGCTAAACACAACTCATGTTATCTTAATTTTTTCCATTTAAACTTTCTTACCAGCTTAATTATTCATTTTAAAATTTAATTCATAGATGTATTTTCTGTTTCAATTAGAAATTCCATAAAAATAAATAGAAAAATATTCCAATAATATTTCTTTACACAGTATTTTTCTATTTATACTTTAATAAACCATTTTAGAAATTTAGTATATGATTCTCAAGTAAAAAAAATAAAAGTTTTTCCGCATCTAAAGATTTTCTCAAGTTGCTATACAAAATATCTATGCAACTGGCCTTTATTGGACAAATATAAAGTTTGTTTTGAAAAAAAAAAGGTAAAAGAAAAGAATAAAGTTTGTTGAAGTGACATTTAAATAAAGTCCTTAACCTATAAGTAACCTTTTGTTTCTGAAACAAGAAAGAACTTAACAAAAAATCAAAATAATAGGAATAAATAAAGAACTTACCACAACTTCCTTGATCTTTGATGTGATTAACAACACCTTTCAACCTCCAATCAACATGCACAGGCAACCGATCACCTGAGTTATAAGTGTATCTGTGACCAGTGATCTTATTTTTCATGATCCTACGTTTAGCATCACTCCTCATCTTCAAATACATGTAACAATATTCTTCATTAGTTATATCTGCAAACTTGTTCAACCCAACTGTATAAGTATAATTTTGAGCATTGTGCTCATCAATGAAATTTAAATTATCCTTAAATATTTGAAATCTTTGGTCTTTCTCTCCTAATCCATTATACACTTTTTGGTGTTTTACCAACCATTCCTCGTACATGGTCATAACTTCATCGTTACTACGACCACTTGGTATGTCTAATGCTAATGAAAAAGTGATCAATGAAAGGAAGAGCAAGAAGGGTAGTATGGTCATTGAGGCCATGATTGGTATTTGGCTAAGAAGAGAAAGGATGGGTTAAAGGTTTTGGTGTGAAGAAGATAGGGTGTGAGTGTGTGTATTTATAGAGATGAAAATATTGTTTATATTTAAAGAGGTTTTGATGAATGTGAGGAATCTTAGGCAAGTGGATATCAATGCAAATTGAAGTGGGAAATTATACTAACATATCTAGAGTCACACCATGTGACCTTAAATTTGAGGGTGAATATTATTGAAATCTAGAATTGGAGAAATTAACCTATTCTTTACATTATTGAATCATTCATTATTTTATAAGAGACACTTGTGTAAAGGAAATTATTGTTACATTTTTGTTAGATTATCAAATTGTTGTTACATACTCTTATAGTATTATGTTTTTATTTATAATAAAAAATGGATTTATATTTAGCATCTTTTAAGAAAATCAGTGGAGTTCGAATTCATAACTTCCGAATCTAAGGACTATCTTTTTACTATTAAACAATTTTTATATAAACCATTAGACAAACTCTGAAAGAGTTATATAGTTTTCTTTGTTGAGGGAAAAGAAAATTTAAGACTAAGAAACAATATTAAGGAAGGAAAGAGATTTCTCAACAATTATCAGACAAATTCTATCATCTCGAGTTCGTCATTGTGGCCGATATTTGTAAGGCGATCTGCACGACAATTAGTTTTTCAATAAATATGTGTTCTCACATTTTCAATTTGTTTAATCCACGAAAAATAATGATTTTAGAAGAAGGAGATTCAAATGAAGATTATGAGTCTTCCGAGAGATGATCATAAATCCATCTCGACAAGTAAGGAAGAGAAATCTGAACTACTAGTTATTCTTAAACCATATACTACGCCTCAAAGCTCAGTTGAAGTGAAGATTGATTTATCATGGTTACAAGAAAAAACACTAACATAAATTCTCTTAGTGTCCCTAATGAGAGACCCACAAGTTGAAAGCCTCGTACTACTAAAGTAAGACTCATTGGTATTCAGCTTGAAAAAATTAGTAGAAGGACAACTCCATTTCTCATTGATTATATGATTCCTTTGCTTGACATAAGAGGATGAATGAGGGAAAAGATGACAGTGGTAAACAAAATGTAGATACCTCCGAAGATTACTAAAAAAATTGCTCTGGATCAATAAAAATCCTTAAAAAAATCGGTTGGTTTCTATGTTCCCACAACTAATTTGTCATGACACCAAAAATATATTAGGTCAATTATATTGATTAGTACCGATTGAAGACAACTCAAGATTAAAATTCACTCAATGTGATAATTAAAGACTAAAGAAATGTTGAGTATGTAATTATTTGTGTCAAAGCAAAATTTGACAGAGTTTGTAATAATTATATTCGACAGAGAGTCAAATATAGCAAGTAGTTGTTGAAATATGTTATTGTCGAAGGAGTGTACTTTAAAAGAGTTGAACTTAACAATTATTTTATGTATTAGCTGAGTTAGTTAGTTAGAGTTTCTTTGGTGAACAAGCAAACTCAACTATAAATAGGGAGGTACCCTATTATTGTAAATATAACGAGAAATTGAGATTTGCTGTTTGAAAATAGAAAGAAGAGAGTTACTCTACAGATTTACCAACTTCTTCGTCTTCTTCTTCTCCCGTTCTCTATCTCTAAAACCCTAATTTCTCATTTTCCTTTTTCTTCTTAAAATCTCCGTGTAACAGATTCATCTAACAACTAAAGTGTGGTTGATTCACTCGAGTGAAGAGTGAAGAGTGAAGAACGGGGGGAGTCAATCAGAAAGATTGATTCAGGTTATCTCTATGATTGAGGTTGATTCCAACATCTGGTATCTTGAATACTTGTTGTGATTCTTGGGAAGTAAAGCGCAATGAATCATTCGAATGAGCACTTTCCAGCAAATCTTCTAATCTTGAATGATAAGAATTATGAGAATTGATGTAAGGAGATAAAGATTATCTTTTGCTATCAAGATCTTTGGGATCTTGTGAAGAATAAAGTAACACCAATCAGAGAGAATGTTAAGATGAATAAAAGGATGCATGTAACACCCCTATTTTCTTTTCTTTAATTTTAATACTTTATTTGAATATTAGAAGTTTATTTGTGTGTTTTTTGATCTAAATTGATGATTTATGTTATTTTAATGATTTTAGATGTTACAAGGGTATTTTGATAATTTAATAATTACTAAAATAGTTAAGTTTGAGAGCGTTAGATTTTAAACAAAAAATTAGATAAATCAAAATATTAGTAAGAATAAGTTATATTTTTAATTATTTGCTAATTATTATTATGAGGAAGATTTTTAATAATATAAGAGTTGATATATTTTAGTTAAAATATTTATTTAATTATATTTAGTTGTAATAATTATTAGTTGAAAAATTTGATTTTTATTTAATTGGGATAATAATAATAACGACTTTACCGTTAGGAATAATCACGTTAACGGTAAAATATTATTAGTGAGGGGTGTGTGAGTAAGTAGGAGGTGAAAGAGTCAAATTGGAAATATAAATAGTTAACGTGAGTACGAGAGCTAGGGTGTGACAGAAAATTAGACTTTGAGTGAAAACGGCGCATTTGGAGAGAATGTAGCAGTGCATTGGAAAGCGAGAGAGAGAGAGAGGAGGCTTACTATAAGGTGGGTTTAGGATGATAAGGGTTCTCTTACCCTCTCGTCGACACTAGGGTAATTATGTTATTATCTCTGTAATATGTATCAAATCAAAATACATGTAGTTTGTTATATTGTTTGACCTTGTGTAGCGGCCGAAAATTTGATGAAACTAAGTTTTTGAATAAACTTAACTCACAAAAGAAAGCAAGAGTCGCTACCCGCGCTTTATTGTTTCCAAAGGAATGAGAAAAGAGAGAAATAAAACCCAAAAAATAAAGAGATCAGGGTAAAGGGGTTGGTTATTGATGCGTGGTTTCACAAGTATACAAAACGCGTCAGAGTAATATAAAAGATTATCGATCCCACAAAGATCAAACGTCAATCTTTCGATTTCTGTTATTACGATGTTTATCTAAGGTAAAACAATTCAGGGGTTTATGAGTACACAATGAAAGTAAAGTACAAAGATATAAATTTAGATAAAAACAACAGACTTGAATGTAATTCACACAGTCTGATAATATTCCAAATGCTTTTAAATAGAACTACTTATAGGGAAATATTTTCTACTCACGAAAAGAACTAATTTAACAGGAACTGTTGCTTTCGCGTATTCAGAACCGAGTTTATTCCATAATCAATCCCTCTTATTTTCACTTATAAAAAGGAGCGCATTGTGTTAAAGTAATAAACCTATTTTTAAGAAATATAGTTTCTTGACTTAGTTGAAAAGTAATTTTGACTTGGAACTTCTAACCAAAAGAGGACTAGACCTTTAAACCTGTAAACGCGTCCGAAAAGAGTTTTGAAATCATTTTTTTAAAAGTGTTAAAAGATTCCTACTTAATTAAACAAAGCACTTTCGCTTCCTTTAAACAACTAAGACTACCCAAGTTTAACTAAAGGTTGGAAGACTTTCGATCTTACCCAACAAAAATAAAGTGTAGAAAACTTGTGTTAAAAACCAAAACAACCCTTAAGTATTTCTACAGACACATTATATGGAATATCACTTTAACTATGATCCTTACATTCTAACCTTTAAAATTTAGCCAGACATGGAAATGTAAACATACATGTTAAATAAGTGCAAGACAAGGAAATAAACAAAGTAAAGTGAATGCAAGGAAATAAATAAAGTAAAGCGAGTGCAATGAAATAAATAAAATAAAGCGATTGCGATGAAATAAATAAAGTAAAGCGAGTGCGATGAAATAAATAAAGTAAAGTGAGACTTGTAAATAAAAACCTGCTCCAAATCGGAGGCTTTAAATCAGGTGCAATTGGAAATAAATGCGACTCGAAATGAAAATAGCGGCAGGATTAACTTCTACCAAAGTGCTCCAAACTCGATTATAGACTCTATCAATGGTGCGATAACTCTTCGATATGAAGGGATTATCAGTTACAAAATCTGACAGTATATGGCTTAAGTTTGTAACTAAGCTTGGATGAAAAGAAAATGGAACTAGAACCTCCTATTATAGAAAAATAACATTCCATGGAATTACCAAGGTGCCCCTAACTCCTTTTGGGCGGGACACCATTTAACAAAGGTGGCACCCGCCATGCCCCTATGGCACCCGCCATGTGTACAAGGGTGGGAAGTTGAGGAGAACGTGGCAGTTGAAGGCAGTTGAAACCAATCCATTTCATGGCCTATCCTATGACGGGCGCCATGCTGGATGCCATGTGTACAATTTGCTCAAAAACTTGATTTCTTACTCATTTTTCTTCATTTCTTCAAGAGGGGCTCTAGATAATCAAAATACTTGAAAACAAAACAAAAACAAACATAACACAAGAAAATGATAATAAAAAACCTAACAAACACGTGCAATCTGAGTCAAATATGCAATGTATTTTAGTGTTATCAAATTCTCCCACGCTTAAACCTTTACTTGTCCTCAAGCAAAAACTCTGTATTGCTCATGAAAGAAAAACAACATCAACAAACGATTTGGACTAAAAAGGTTTCTAAGTTCAAAACATGATGTATTTGATAGGTACTAACCGAATGAACCAAGGGTATCGTAACAACACTTTCCGCGGACGGACATAAACTTCGTTACTATACAAATCAATCCATATCATGCCAATATACCTAGGCCTAACTTCTCATTTCTTTCGAATCCTCTTTCATTCAGGTGCAATCACATTAAGCCTGTTATCCTTACATACTCATAGTAGAGTGACCGGTTAGTGACTCTGATCTCAAGCATGGGGTTCTGGTACATAAGTTGGTGTAACCTATTTTCTAGACCCAATTATAGTTGTGGGGGATCGGATTGTAATGCATCCTACCAAGTCTAGCACCAGATACCTCTGAACCAACCAACAATGGGCAAACTTCTTCTCATTATTCTTTTTGCAAGTTTTTACAACATTTTG